GTGCTTTAATCATTTAACAACTATTTAGACCTGGATTAACAAACTGTGAATATTTTATTCTTTATTATAAGTATCAATTTATAAGTGTCAATTTTTCTTTCCATATAATGTCATTATTATGATAACAAGTTTCAGTTTTTATGAAGAAAAATATATATATAAGAAAATGTAAAAGAAGCAATCCCCAAATGCGAAAAAATAAAAATTGTAGCTTCTTTTCAACCAATAAGCGTCGATGAAATTCTAGAAATTTTTGTTGTAATACTTTCTCTTTCTCGCGGACACATCTGTAGATAGACTGTGCCTATTCCAATTGTATTATAGTTTGTCATGTCTAATTTTTACAAAGTAAAATGATACTGTCAAATATCTGTACTGTTTATTTGTTATGCTTCCCTTTTTCTATCTCCATTAAGAAAAAGGAAGACGGTTGGTATTAAACTACATATAAAATTGCCTATAATTACAAATCTTGGACAGTATTGAAGTAAAATACGAAATAAAATATTGATAGTTAAAAACTTCTTTTTTGCAGCATACTGTGGTGGATGTAATTTTTCCGAACAATGATGATTTCAAGAACTTATTAGCGGTACGATCGTCTTTATACATCTATATTTTTTTATATGTTGATTAATTGTGCGAAATTATGATTACAGGCACTAACGAGAGCTTACATGAAAGGGGGAGATGATGTTTATATAGATGTCATGCCTAACGTATTAACTTACATAAATTTTCTACTAGAAGCCGATATAATACAATACCATCCTAATGATAAGACTAGAATTAGAATGATCGAGATACTATGATATCTGGTAATCTATCCTGGATATCTGATATTTTTAATGTTTCTGTACCTAATAATTTTGTACAACAACTTCGTGCTACAGCGTAATATAAAAAAATAATAGTCGATAAACATAATATTAAAAAAATAGAAAACCGCTTATTTGTTCATATATTATATAAAAAATATTTTCTACCACAAGAAAGGAGATCGTTCTCTCAATATTCTAACACCCCAACGATGCCATTCGTTTCGAGTGATCCACAATTCCTGTGCTGATTCCAAACAGCTTAAAATCCCTGCTCCTTTCCACGTTGTCATACCGGGATCCATATCTTTCGGCTGTGTTATAATATCCAGTTGTTCTGCAAAGAAAAATCAAACAGCGTATAAAAAATATTTTTCATTCGTCGTAAGCAAACTGCAATTAATTGAATAAATTAATAAAATGCCAAATACAATTGAGGTAAAATTTTAAAATTGAAGGTGGAGAATACATATTAATCACAATAAATTTTTTGTAGTATTTTTACGATGCTTATTAGCATTATTATTGATGATCAATTTAATGTGATATTATTATATTAATTTCTTTTTCGGAAATATTAGAAAATGTATTTAAAAATTCACATAGAAGTATTATGAGATATCGAGATATAGCTTTGATTGCATTTGGCATTTATTTATCTAATTAATTTATTTAAGGTTTAGTTTAACTTACTGTAATTGATTTACCACGAGTCTTGAAGGAAATACTTACCAGGCCTGTACGTATAAGGAGTTTGAAGAGATATTCGATTACGAAGCCACATACCGATACCCTTAAATTTCAAACCAGATCCGACGACTAGCACACAACTATACATTTTTCTTTTGAGATCTTCATTGGCTATTATAAAAAATTAGATTAACTGTATATATTTTTATTTATTTAGTTACAGATTACTTATCTGATAAATATGTTTCTGATAAATATGTTTATGCTCACAACATCGCTCGATACTCTGCAAAATAGCTTGATCAAGACCCAATAGTTGTTGCGGGATTACGAAATCTCGGGGAGCGTCCAAATCACTTTTTAACAAACTAGGCGCAGGATCACTGGCATCAACTACAACTTCATCGTCGCCCACAACTGCAGGTGCAGCCGCCGCTTCCTCTTGCATTTCTGACGAATGATCCAGAGTTTCTTTCATGCCACGTCTCTAAAATCGAGAGCAATTGAATCAAACTTAGATATGCTAAAATGAAAACATCAATTAGGAATTTGAAAAATACAAAACAATCACTTACACTTGTTTCTCTTAAATAGTTTTCGTCGTAAGGATCTTCTGGATCTCCTAACGATCGTTTCTGAACATGAACATTATGTGTTCCGGTAATTCTGAATAGTTCAGGTTGAAATAGGCTCAAAGGCGCTATTAAACATTCATCACCAACCTGTTACAAACTTCAATGTATTAAGTTCAATATCATAAAAAATAATTCTTTATTTTTTAAAGAATAAGTTTTAAAAAGCAATACCTGCATGGTATATGTTTCCGTTTGTTGTTTTGGCTTTCTGACAACAAATGTTTTCTCCTGTGAGCCACATACATTTAAATCTACATGACAAAAATCTATCTTCAGTTGCTCTAAGAGTAGTGCATCCAACTTGTTAGTAGGATCGCATGATTTGTACGGAAATGCGGATTTTTGTAAAAGCCAGAGAAATGTTTGCGTAACATCTGCCCCGCCGTAATCCATACGCACTCGTGTATCTTTATGAGAAATTGCGTCCTCTACACAGGATACTGATATCTTCTGAGCCCCAACATCTACTATACACGCGTAACCCAAACCTGCTCCAAACATCGCGCCTACATGATCCTATCAGTAATGAAAAGATATTTGAAAAAGGAAGTATTTTGAATTCCAAATAATTATGCAAGTAAAACATTTCATCATAAAAAAAACGAGAATTTTTCCAAAAGGAAATTCCGATTATGGATATCAACTAACTTGCAATAGAATACAGCGTCCAAAACCAATCTCATCCAATAATAGAGTGATCAATTCCTTCAGATATGGTCGATGATAGATATCAGGTATAACAAGCACTGCTCGATAATGCTTTAAGTCTCTAAGAGGGATATCTAGCTTCTCAGTCAGTACATATTCCCAGATGACTTTTAAATCTGCCATGACAGCTGTTATGCTACCACCCAGACCTGAATGTATATTAAGCTCTCCTCTTCTGTATGGAAAGTGGATATTAAAATTGCATTCTTCTTCTGGATCTAACGACAAGATATCATCACCGATAACTATATCACTATCTGTCATTGTCCACTTCATGTTGCTGGGTGAAGAGATTTCTGGACTAGATCTACGATTGAAAGCTGCTATTTGCTGTGGAGGTGTCGCATATCTTCGGCTTCCATCTGACTGTAAACAGGACTGAAGAGTATGAGACACTTGTAGCCGAGATTCTTCCATTGCCTGTGTTAGCTCCTTTGTCTGCCAAAAATAATGACAGATAGAAACATGATAATATGATTTTATTGCATATTTATTCCAGTACTTACTAGTGTCACAGTTGGAGGTAAGAGACTATCCTTGTATGTTGCTCCATTCGGTAAACGTCTTCTTGCTATGGCATGTAGTAATGTAATGGGCTTCAGATCACAAGCACGGCCCATACGAAGGTACATAGAGCCTGGATGAATAACAATAATCGTTTGCGCTTGAATTTGCTGAAATATGTTACAGATAGAATAAAAATGAATCTTGCAAGTACCATTTCTATATTTATGTTAATGCTAAGAATAATATACATGAAGCAGTAAAATTAGATATAGACATAAACTTAAGATAAAATCATGGTTTGTTTATATTTTTGTATTTGGTCTGTATAAATATTTTACATTATGTGAAATAAGTATAAGCAGAAGTCTTAAATAAACTTATAAAAAATAATAGATGTTTTTTTTATAGCTGAATTGATATAAACTCGTATTTTAAATAAAATAGATTTATATTTAAAGTTTAATGAGAAAGTGAGAAGAAAAAAAGTTAGTGCAGTTGAGAACAAACTATATCGATTTATTTATATCAATAACATAAAATAAAATAATTACTTCGGTTTCTTGATAAACTGGCATCTTCGTTGACATTCAATATAGCAGTAATCAAAATTTCTTCACTTTTATTCTTCTTCTAATGCTGATTCTACAATGAGTCAATAATCGATAGTACTAAGTCTTATCGATGAAGTTGACCAATAGCCAACTTGTATGACTAACGTTGATTGGCTGATTAAAAAACTTCATCGATTAAAATTAAAATTTTCAATTACAAATTCATTCATTCAGTTACAAAATCAGCATAAGATTCTTGTAGAACTGAAATGATACCAGTGTCAGTATAATATTTTTTTTTCTTCGTATCCTCTTCTTGTCAATATTTTATTCCAATTTTCTGAAGAAAAAATTTTCCGAAAATATTACATAATTTATGTTAACGTAATATTTTATATTCGAAATATAAATATTTTTTCATTGTACGTCATCGATTTACAAAGCGAGTTAACGTCTATGAAATAGGTTATGTTTTCCACAGATTATATCCGAGTGTTCAAAAATAAGTTTTATTATTATCAAATAAAAACAGGTAACAGTGAAAATCACTAGTGTGATTTTTTTCACCAGAGAAAAATTTCCACCAATAATCGACTGCGTTCAGTAGAGATGTGTTCAGGAACGCCTAGATAACTCTAGGCTATAGTTTATGTTATGTATATTATAGCAAAAATGTATACCAAAATTATCTGAGTATAATTTGGAGGTCGAGTGTGTATTTTGAAATGATGTGATAATTAGAAAAGTGAGTAAACGTAATATTTTTTCCCGGGCAGGTATTGACCAATTAAATTATGAATATTCGAGTGATTTGTTCACTTTTGTAATTTTTATTTCATTTTAAGATAAACAACTCCCTGAACGCATTTCGGAAAAAACAGCTTTATTGCTACTGTTGTAAATTCCCTTAACATGATTAATTTTGTCTTTAAGCGATTTAATATATTTTGAGGATTCACAATAATGTGTGAATTGATATAAAAACCATGCTATTCAAACGAAAAAACAATTGATAATTGAAATATAAAAATGCTCGGGAGATGAATATTTATAATAAAGATAAAATCTTACTTTAAGCTTTAGTTTTATGCCCATATTCATAGTCACCTTGTACTTAAGGCTTCCTTAAATTTATCTTTAGATGCTCAGCAGCCAATGAAATAATTCGTAGAGTATCTAAAGTTAAATTTAAGGAAATCTTAAATATAAGGCCTGACTATGAATACGAGCATAAGACTTTCGACTACCGATTCATTATAGAATCAGCATAAGACTAAGATTATTATTCGTATTCATAGTCAGGCCTTATATTTAAGGCTGCAGATAAATTTAAAAAAACCTTAAATAAGACCTGACTGTGAATACGAGCATAAGACTATGATTAAGAATGGGGAAACATAAATGACTTTTTTTTTTATTTTTATTTAGCATTCTTCATTGCCTACTTTTAAGACTAAGACCGAAGCAGGCATTAGATCGTTACATTTATTTTTAAACCTGACATCCCTGATGAAAATAAAAATCAAAGAGTAAGTCGAATGTAATGGGAGAGTAACAGAAGCGTAAAGAAAAATAACGAAATTTCTAGGAGGCGAAAATTGAAACATCAAAATGTTAAAAAAATGTAAATCTTCTTTTACATTTCATTGTTTCAATTTTCGCCTTCTACGAGTTTCGTTTACGCTTCTGTTATTCTCCAATTACATCCGATTTACAGTCCGATTTTCATCAGAGATGAAACTATTTGTATTGATTTATTTACAAATAATATAATATTATGCTGTGTAAAATTTTCGAATCAAGTTTTATGATTATATTTAATATATGTAATGTTCTCTATATTTCTGTTTTTTTCTTCATAATAAGAATTAAGTTCCAATAATCTTTTATCAATAATTTGATTAATATTCAATACTATCTAGTAGTTCTGTGTATTGTATTACTGTCAGAACAGCATAAATAATTTCTAATAATCCAGTA